GCTCGGCAGCTCATGCCTGTAATCCCAGCACTTTGGGAGGCCAAGGCAGCTAAATCACCTAAGGTCAGGAGTTCAAGACCAGCCTGGCCAACATGGCAAAACCCTGTCTCTACCAAAAGTATAAAAATTAGCCATGCATGGTGCTGGGCACCTATAATCCCAGCTACTCAGGAGGCTGAGGCAGGAGAATCACTTGAACCCAGGAGGCAGAGGTTGCAGTGAGCCAACATAGTGCCACTGCACGCCAGCCTGAGCGACAAGCACAAAACTCCGTCTCAAAAAAATAAATAAATAATAAAGTCTATTAAAAGCTTTTTCCAAAAAGACATGGCATTTTAAAGACTGCTAAATTTACAGACATGAATAGTGTCCCTCTGTCAAAAAAACGAGATACTGAATTCTTGAAGATGTCACCTGTCAAATGTAGTTTTTCTTAGAAAAATTTTATTAGAACCCAGACACAGCAAAGAATTATTTTTTCAGGGAATGATAGCTGGGAAGGTTCAAAACCAAGATCAATTACAGAAGCCAGGCAGTGGGGATTCCTACATTTCTCAGACTGAAGATAAGATAGAACTGATCTCAGCCGGACACAGTGGCGCATGCCTGTAATCCCAGCACTTTGGGAGGCCAAGGAGGGTGGATTATCTGAGGTCAGGAGTTCAAGAGCAGCTTGGCTAACATGGCGAAACCCTGTCTCTACTATAAATACAAAATTAGCCAGGCGTGATGGTGCACATCTACAGATGTACAGATGGTGCACATCTGTAGTCCCAGCTACCTGGGAGGCTGAGGCAGGAAAATCACTTGAGCTTGGGAGATGGAAGCTGCAGTGAGCCGAGATCCAGGCACTGCACTCCATCCTGGGCAGCAGAGCAAGATTCTATCTCTTTAAAAAAAAAAAAAAAAAAAAGAACGGATCTCATCCATATCTAGGTATCTAGTAAGTCTGCTATTCAACTTAAAATTGTGGTACAAAGAGTTTGAAAAAAAAATTATCTCCATTTTGTTTTCACAATCTTTTTGACTGGTATACCAAATACATTTCATTTTTCTTATCACTGGTAGTCTCAGAGAAGTCAAGCCACACTTCGCAGTCTAGGTTATAAACCTAGGTAAGGGCCAGGCGCAGTGGCTAAAGCCTGTAATCCCAGCACTTTGGGAGGCCGAAGCGGGCGGATCACAAGGTCAAGAGATGGAGACCATCCTGGTCAACATGATGAAACCCCTTCTCTACTAAAAATACAAAAAATGAGCTGGGCATGGTGGTGCGTGCCTGTAATCACAGCTACTCAGGAGGCTGAGGCAGGAGAATTGCCTGAACCCAGGAGGCGGAGGTTGCGGTGAGCCGAGATCGCGCCATTGCACTCCAGCCTGGGTAACAAGAGCGAAACTCCATCTCAAAATAAATAAATAAATAAACAAACAAACAAACCTAGGGAAAATGGTTAATATTGAGTTCTAGAAGTTCAGGCAGGGCCAAGTGCAGTGGCTCAGACTTGTAAACCCAGCACTTTGGGAGGCCGTGGTGCGCAGATCACCTGAGGTCAGGAGTTCGAGACAAGCCCGGCCAGCATAGTGAAACATCACTTCTACTAAAAACACAAACATTAGCCAGGCGTGGTGAAGTGCACCTGTAATCCCAGCTACTCGGGAGGCTGAGGCAGGAGAATCATTTGAACTCAGGAGGCAGAGGTTGCAGTGAGCTGAGACTGGCCACTGCACTCTAGGCTGGGTGATAAGAGCAAAACTCCATCCCAAGAAAAAAAAAGTTCAAATTACTTCTAAACTTGATTTTATTAAAAAGATCTTATGAGCCGGGCACGGTGGCTCAAGCCTGTAATCCCAGCACTTTGGGAGGCCGAGGCGGGTGGATCACGAGGTCAAGAGATCGAGACCATCCTGGTCAACATGATGAAACCCCGTCTCTACTAAAAATACAAAAAAATTAGCTGGGCATCGTGGTGCATGCCTGTAATCCCAGCTACTCAGGAGGCTGAGGCAGGAGAATTGCCTGAACCCAGGAGGCAGAGGTTGCAGTGAGCCGAGATCGTGCCATCGCACTCCAGCCTGGGTAACAAGAGCGAAACTCCGTCTCAAAAAAAAAAAAAAAAAAACTTATGAACGCACATTTTAGAGAAAATTTAGTCTAGAAAACATGTAGCAACTAATTAGAAACCATATTATGTGGTTTGTATGTTTTGTGTGCAAGTGCTAACCCCCTCTCTGAAGAAGTCCATTACACACATAAATCAATGAAGAGATTAAAGGCTACATTTCTTTTTTTTTGAGACGGAGTTTCACTCTTGTTACCCCAGGCTGGAGTGCAATGGCGCGATCTCGGCTCACCACAACCTCTGCCTCCTGGGTTCTCTTCTGCCTCAGCCTCCCGAGTAGCTGGGATTACAGGCACGCGCCACCATGCCCAGCTAATTTTTTTTGTATTTTTAGGAGAGACGGGGTTTCACCATGTTGACGAGGATGGTCTCGATCTCTTGACCTCATGATCCACCCGCCTCGGCCTCCCAAAGTGCTGGGATTACAGGTTTGAGCCACCACACCTGGCTACATTTCTTTATCTGTAAATTTCCACACATTACCCCCACTTACTCCTCCCTCAGGTTTTAAAATAAGAGCACAATCTTCTACAGGTATTTGATAACTTCCCAACTTCTATAAGGACCTAGCAAGTCCTAAAAGCCTTAAAAATACCTATGTATATATTTTATTTGGATGACTATTCCTCAGTGTGCTCCCGTCCCTTAAATGGCTCTTTAAGAAATCTTTGGCCAGGCACCGTGGCTCACGCCTGTAATCTCAGCACTCTGGGAGTCCAACATGGGCGGATCACCTGAGGTCAGGAGTTCAAGACCAGCCTGGCCAACACGGTGAAACCTCATCTCTACTAAAAATACAAAATTAGCCAGGCGTGGTGGCAGGCACCTGTAATCCCTGCTACTCAGGAGGCTGAGGCAGGAGAATCTCTTGAAGCCAGGAGACAGAGGTTGCTGTGAGCCAAGATTGCACCATTGCACTCCAGCCTGAGGGACAACAGCGAGACTTCCTCTTTAAAAAAAAAAAAAAGAAAAAGAAATCTTTGCTTAAGGTTCAAGCTTCTTTTAACAAATGCCATTTCATTTCAGCACAACATTTATTTGCCTCAAATCTGCCCTTTTTGTTAGAAATCAAAGTCAAAAGAAGTTGGTAAGGGCCGGGCGCGGTGGCTCAAGCCTGTAATCCCAGCACTTTGGGAGGCCGAGGCGGGTGGATCACGAGGTCAAGAGATCGAGACCATCCTGGTCAACATGGTGAAACCCCGTCTCTACTAAAAAATACAAAAAATTAGCTGGGCATGGTGGCGTGTGCCTGTAATCCCAGTTACTCAGGAGGCTGAGGCAGGAGAATTGCCTGAACCCAAGAGACGGAGGTTGCGGTGAGCCGACATCGCGCCATTGCACTCCAGCCTGGGTAACAAGAGCGAAACTCCGTCTCAAAAAAAAAAAAAAGAAGTTGGTAAGGAGCTAACCTAATTATAGTAATCAATGGGACTGATTCCACATTAAAAGTCTTTGATCAAAAATGAAATGAGGACCAACTACTAAACTAGGGTGTTTAAATCATCAATCTGTATTCTGACTTAGTTTTAAGGCAAGGTGAAAACTGGTTCTCTTCCTCTTGCATCCCCATTCCATCATTCAGAATAGATAATCCTGGTACCTACTACTCACTAAGTAGCTACAGGTACAAGCCATGTGCTGTGGCTGATGCCTGTAATCCCAACATTTAGGGAGGCAGAGGTAAGAGGCGAGCTTGACACCAGCCTGGGCAACACAGCAAGATCCCGTTCTCCACAGAAAGGAAAAAGATGTACTAAAGAAGAAAACAGCTATTGGTTTAATATAGCCAATCTGAGTAACCAAGAGACACATCAAACAGAAATGAACAGTGGTGCCTCCCTACTTCTAAGAAAAAAAACATAAAATTAGCACTAAGAGAGGATTAAAAAAAAAAAAAAAACCTAAATTTTAAGCCAAGCTTTTACTCTAGGTGTATTATTAGGAAAACCTCCTTATCGATAACTAAATAACCCTTCGCTTTAAAGAGCAGAGAAATCCTTTTTGATACAAAATCTAGTAAAACCCTTTTCCAATTAAGAGTCTTCCTAAACATATCACCTAATACAGCGTTAAGTTCATTTTGCGAAGACACTGTGAAAGGAACTTTTGTGTACTTTATCTGGCGACTTTCAATGTTCAGGTTTCTTCCTCTACCTTTGCCAATGTACAGCTTTTCTATTAGATCCAATCCTGCAAAACGGAAGTGTTAGTCTCTAACTACGTACAGCAACCTCAAGAAATAAAACGATTCTCCCTCTAATTCCCTCCTCCTTCATAAGTCACGGTTTTTGTTTGTTTGTTTTTTCTTTCTGAACTTCCAACTCTGAAGTTTCTGGACAAGTAGGATGGACCGACGTGTGCTGCCACCCAAGAGGTAAGTGAACTCAGAGATACTTGTGGATCGGGCAAAACGGCTTCCTCCGTCTGCCCGAGCTCAGGCGGTTTTGCGGAGGGCGCTAGGGCAGGTGTGGGAGGAGGGAACAGGAATGGGGCGAGCAGCCCTTTCGATCTCTGCCGAAGAGACCGCCCAACGCCCCAGCGCCCCCCACGGACCCAACCCCGCCATCCTGGCCGGACAATGGCCTTCAAGCGCAGCGCCAGTCCCAGACTGGAGAGAGGCCCTGGGAGTCCACACCATGCGTGCCTGGAAGGGCAGCAGGGGAGGAACGCTGAGGCCGCGAGAGCACCTCCGGCCTAAGCGCGGGCTGCGCGCCGTGGCCTCCACGGGCGCCATCACTGGGAGTGGGGTATGGAGGCCTCCCAGCGGGGCCAGCACCGGCAGGGGGATCCAAGGAGGCCGCGAGCCCGGCGGAGGCCTCGGCGGGAAGTGCAGGCCGCAGGCTGCTCAGCCCGCCAGCCCGCAGCCGACCTCCGGCCCCTTACCTTGTGGATTCTCTTCAGAGCCATGGTGTGAGGCGGGTGGCGGCGGCCCCCGGGGCGGGGACGGGGGCGGGGAAGGGACGGGGAAGGGGCTAGGGAGCCTGAGGCCGCCTGGGCGATCGCGCTGGGCCGGAGAAGATGGAGAGTCCAGGAGAGCGGGTCCGGTGGGACGGGCTGAGGGCCGGGGCCCACTCCGCTCCTGGGCCTGCCGCAGCGGTCACCGCATCACCCGGCGGCGGCCCCTTTATTCGCTGCCGCCGCCGCCGCTGCCGCCGCCGCCGCCGCCGTAGCTGTTTCTTCCTCCCAGGATCAGCGCCGCCTCCTCAGCCGCCGCAGATCCCTCCGCCGGGAAGCAAAAGCCCAAACCTCGGGTTCAGCCGGCGCCTCTCAGTTGGATAGTCAGAGGGACTGCCTGCTTTCCTGTCTGCCTGCGGCAGGTGGACGAGGGACGCGCGGGCGGGCGAGCGGCACCGCCGGGGTGGAGCTGCCGGAGCACGGGGTGGGCCTGGCCGAGGGGCAGGTCGGGAGGCGCGGGGATTGGCGGGCCGGGGGAGGGAGGGCCGAGCCGCGTCGGCGGCGGAGGGATACGGGCCGCCCCTGTGAGTAAGCTACGCGCCGCCGCCGCCACGGCCGCGGAGGGGGATGACGCTGCGAAGCGCTGGAAGGAGATATCGCGAGATCCAGGGCGCGGGTTCTGCAGGCTCCCGCGCCGCGACCCTTGGGTTCCTTACTGATGGGAACCCCCGCGCGTGTCACAAAAGATCAATAAACATTAAAAGGCAAATGTTCAGATCGCACGACCGTCCCCGTACCAGTCCCAGGAAGAGGCACTTAGTCCGACTGCAACGTTCCTGAAGGAAGAAGGGACTTGGCCAAGGTCACACAGCTCTTCTGAAGTCCTGGGACTTAACAGAGCTCTTTCCAGAGGCCACGTGGCTACAGCTCGGGCACCCACCACGTGCCGCGCGGGTTGCAGTGAGATTGGCCTTCCGGACCAAGGCCCCAGATGGAGAAGATTTTAATGTTGTGTTCTTCTCAGCCAGTGGCATGCCTGCCTTGGAGATGCCCAGACCCTACTCAGCTTAGTGAATTGCGAATTATTACAAGCAAGTACTGTACCAGCTTCGTCAGAAAAAAAGATCACAGTGTCTGCCCCAATAGTTAAAACCCGCGGGGTTTATATTCTGGGATGATATCCCAGAACTTTCGGAGGCCGAGGCTGGTGGATCACCTAAAGTCAGGAGTTCGAGACCAGCCTGGCCAACATGGTGAAACCCTGTCTATACTAAAAATACAAAAATCAGCCAGGCGTAGTGGCGGGCGCCTGTAAGCCCAGCTATTGGGGAGGGTGACACAGGAGAATCGCTTGAACCCGGGAGGCGGAGTTTGCAGTGAGCCGAGATCATGCCATTGCACTCCAGCCTGGGAGACAAGAGCAAAACTCCATTTGAAAAAAACAAACAAGGCCGGGCGCGGTGGCTCAAGCCTGTAATCCCAGCACTTTGGGAGACCGAGGCGGGTGGATCACGAGGTCGAGAGATCGAGACCATCCCGGTCAACATGGTGAAACCCCGTCTCTACTAAAAATACAAAAAATTAGCTGGGCATGGCGGTGCGTGCCTGTAATCCCAGCTACTCAGGAGGCTGAGGCAGGAGAATTGCCTGAACCCAGGAGGCGGAGGTTGTGGTGAGCCGAGATCGTGCCATTGCACTCTAGCCTGGGTAACAAGAGTGAAACTCCGTCTCAAAAAAAAAAAAAAAAAAAATTGATTTTTAAAAAAAGAAGTATGGGTCCGGGTAGGGTGACTCACGCCTATGATCCTAGCACTTTGAAAGGCCGAGGCTGGTGGATCACCTGAGATCAGGAGTTCAAAACCGGCCTGGCCAACATGGTAAAACCTGTCTATACTAAAAATAATATACAATTAGCCAAGTGTAGTGGCGGATGCCTTTTTTTTTTATTATTATTTTTTTTATTTTATGTTTTAAAGATGGGGGTTTCACCATGATGGCCAGGCTGGTCTTGAACTCCTGACCTCAGGTCATCCACCCACCTCAGCCTCCCAAAGTGCTAGGATTACAGGCGTGAGCCACAGCGCCCGGCTGACGGATGCCTTTAATACTAGCTACTTGGGAGGCTGGGGCAGGAGAATCACTTGAACTCGGGAGGTGGAGGTTGCAGTGAGCCAAGATTACACCACTGCACTCCAGCCTGGGCAACAAAAGCGAAACTCAGTCTCAAAAAAAAAAAGTTTGCTGGGCACGGTGGCTCACACCTGCAATCCCAGCACTTTGGGAGGCTGAGGCAGGCAGATCTCAAGGTCAGGAGTTTGAGATTAACCTGGCCAACATGATGAAACCCCATCTCTACTAAAAATACAAAAATTCTAGCTGGGCGTGGTGGCGCATGCCTGTAATCCCAGCTACTCAGGAGGCTGAGGCAGGAGAATTGCCTGAACCCAGGAGTCGGAGGTTGCAGTGAGCCGAGATCGTGCCATTGCACTCCAGCCTGGGTAACAAGAGTGAAACTCTGTCTCGAAAAAAAAAAAAAAAAAAAATACAAAAATTAATGCCAGGCGAGGTGGCTCACACCTGTAATCCCAGCGCTTTGGGAGGCCAAGGTGGGTGGATCACAAGGTCAGGAGTTCAAGACCAGCCTGACCAAGATGGTGAAGCCCCGTCTCTACTAAAAAAAAAAATACAGAGGCAGCAGCAACGCAGAGGAAACCGGAGTGAACCGAGAGCTTAGTGACCAACATGAGCCTCCTCAACAAGCCCAAGAGTGAGATGACCCCGGAGGAGCTGCAGAAGCAAGAGGAGGAGGAATTTAACACGAGTCCACTCTCTGTGCTGACTCAGTCCGTCAAGAACAACACCCAAGTGCTCATCAACTGCCGCAACAATAAGAAACTCCCGGGCCGCATGAAGGCCTTCGATAGGCACTGCAACATGGTGCTGGAGAACGTGAAGGAGATGTGGACTGAGGTACCCAAGAGTGGCAAGGGCAAGAAGAAGTCCAAGCCAGTCAACAAAGACCGCTACATCTGCAATATGTTCCTGTGTGGGGACTCAGTCATCGTGGTCCTGCGGAACCCGCTTATCGTTGGCAAGTAGGAGCCACCTATCCCTGTCAGTCAACAGAACTCACTCCCCTGTCCTACAGAGGCCGCTGTCGCTGGTGTTGAGAATGATAAAGCTCTGTGTTCTTTTTCTAAAAAAATAAATAAATAAATAAATAAAAAATACAAAAATTAGCTGGGCAAGGTGGCAGGCGCCTGTAATCTCAGCTACTCGGGAGGCTGAGGCAGGAGAATCGCTTGAACCCAGGAGGCAGAGCTGAGATGTGCCACTGCACTCCAGCCTGGGCAACAAGAGTAAAATTCCATCTCAAAAAAAAAAAAGGTATGGGCCAAGTGCTGTGGCTCATGCCTATAATCCTAGCACTTTGGGAGGCCAAGGTGGGCAGATCACGAGATCAAGATATGGAGACCATCCTGGCCAACATGGTGAAACACCATCTCTACTAAAAATACAAAAATTAGCCAGGGGTGGTGGCAGACACCTGTGGTCCCAGCTACTCAGGAGGCTGAGTCGGAAGAATCGCTTGAACCCAGGAGATGGAGGTTGCAGTGAGCCCAGATTGCGCCACTGCAGTCCAGCCTGGCAACAGAGCAAGACTCCGTCTCAAAAAAAAAAAAAAAAAAAATTGATTTTTAAAAAAAGAAGTATGGGTCCGGGTAGGGTGGCTCACGCCTATGATCCTAGCACTTTGAAAGGCCGAGGCTGGTGGATCACCTGAGATCAGGAGTTCAAAACCGGCCTGGCCAACATGGTAAAACCTGTCTATACTAAAAATAATATACAATTAGCCAAGTGTAGTGGCGGATGCCTTTTTTTTTTATTATTATTTTTTTTATTTTATGTTTTAAAGATGGGGGTTTCACCATGATGGCCAGGCTGGTCTTGAACTCCTGACCTCAGGTCATCCACCCACCTCAGCCTCCCAAAGTGCTAGGATTACAGGCGTGAGCCACAGCGCCCGGCTGACGGATGCCTTTAATACTAGCTACTTGGGAGGCTGGGGCAGGAGAATCACTTGAACTCGGGAGGTGGAGGTTGCAGTGAGCCAAGATTACACCACTGCACTCCAGCCTGGGCAACAAAAGCGAAACTCAGTCTCAAAAAAAAAAAGTTTGCTGGGCACGGTGGCTCACACCTGCAATCCCAGCACTTTGGGAGGCTGAGGCAGGCAGATCTCAAGGTCAGGAGTTTGAGATTAACCTGGCCAACATGATGAAACCCCATCTCTACTAAAAATACAAAAATTCTAGCTGGGCGTGGTGGCGCATGCCTGTAATCCCAGCTACTCAGGAGGCTGAGGCAGGAGAATTGCCTGAACCCAGGAGTCGGAGGTTGCAGTGAGCCGAGATCGTGCCATTGCACTCCAGCCTGGGTAACAAGAGTGAAACTCTGTCTCGAAAAAAAAAAAAAAAAAAAAAAAAAAAAAAATACAAAAATTAATGCCAGGCGAGGTGGCTCACACCTGTAATCCCAGCGCTTTGGGAGGCCAAGGTGGGTGGATCACAAGGTCAGGAGTTCAAGACCAGCCTGACCAAGATGGTGAAGCCCCGTCTCTACTAAAAAAAAAAATACAGAGGCAGCAGCAACGCAGAGGAAACCGGAGTGAACCGAGAGCTTAGTGACCAACATGAGCCTCCTCAACAAGCCCAAGAGTGAGATGACCCCGGAGGAGCTGCAGAAGCAAGAGGAGGAGGAATTTAACACGAGTCCACTCTCTGTGCTGACTCAGTCCGTCAAGAACAACACCCAAGTGCTCATCAACTGCCGCAACAATAAGAAACTCCCGGGCCGCATGAAGGCCTTCGATAGGCACTGCAACATGGTGCTGGAGAACGTGAAGGAGATGTGGACTGAGGTACCCAAGAGTGGCAAGGGCAAGAAGAAGTCCAAGCCAGTCAACAAAGACCGCTACATCTGCAATATGTTCCTGTGTGGGGACTCAGTCATCGTGGTCCTGCGGAACCCGCTTATCGTTGGCAAGTAGGAGCCACCTATCCCTGTCAGTCAACAGAACTCACTCCCCTGTCCTACAGAGGCCGCTGTCGCTGGTGTTGAGAATGATAAAGCTCTGTGTTCTTTTTCTAAAAAAATAAATAAATAAATAAATAAAAAATACAAAAATTAGCTGGGCAAGGTGGCAGGCGCCTGTAATCTCAGCTACTCGGGAGGCTGAGGCAGGAGAATCGCTTGAACCCAGGAGGCAGAGCTGAGATGTGCCACTGCACTCCAGCCTGGGCAACAAGAGTAAAATTCCATCTCAAAAAAAAAAAAGGTATGGGCCAAGTGCTGTGGCTCATGCCTATAATCCTAGCACTTTGGGAGGCCAAGGTGGGCAGATCACGAGATCAAGATATGGAGACCATCCTGGCCAACATGGTGAAACACCATCTCTACTAAAAATACAAAAATTAGCCAGGGGTGGTGGCAGACACCTGTGGTCCCAGCTACTCAGGAGGCTGAGTCGGAAGAATCGCTTGAACCCAGGAGATGGAGGTTGCAGTGAGCCCAGATTGCGCCACTGCAGTCCAGCCTGGCAACAGAGCAAGACTCCGTCTCAAAAAAAAAAAAAAAAAAAA